TGAATTCGGCCATGGGCATAAGGGGGTGTGGGTTTGATGTATTATCACAACAGGACAAAAGACATGTTTTATTTCTTGTCCCCTGGTTTGTTCCTCTTGTAGTGGGGAATGTTTGTGATGGATGGGGACTGATTTTAAGGACAAATGGGGCATATTTTCGTGACTTTGAAGTAGGAAGGGATGGGGAAGGTTCTTATTTGCTGAAAGAAATATTTAGGGCAGAAAACAACACTCACATTATTTTTGGGTTGTACCTTTCCTTTCAATTTTGGCCAGGGCTTCAAGGGAGAGGAAAAAGGGCTTTATTTGAGTAGTAAAAATAATTTGGATATGTGGGAGTGGGTTGGGCTTGTAGGCATTTCGGCCTAGGTTGGGTTTTGGGAGAGATAGGTCATGGTTTGGGTTTTGGTGTGGGATGGATCAATGAATTCAACCCAAAATGGATCATAACACCTAGACATTAAACACTTGATTTCTTTTAATACTAGTGGCATGTGTGAAGGTGTACCCTGGGGTATATCATCCTCCCCTTCTTCGGAAGAGTTTGCCCTAAAACTCGGAATATCTTTAGGCTCAAAGGGCTGAGGTCGGTGATGTTGAATGTGGCGGAGACTCCATATTCTCCCGGTAGATTGATCTTGTAGGCGTTATCATTGACCTTCTCTAGAACTTCGAAAGGACCATCCGCTCGGGGCAGTAGCTTGGGCTTGCGTTTTGTGGGGAAACGCTCTTTCCGAAGATGAATCCAAACCAAATCTCCAGGCTTGAACTCAGCGGACTTCCTTCTCTTGTTGATTCGTGCACTCACTCTCTTATTCATTGCTTCAATTCTCTCTCGGACCTTGGCGTGAAGGTCTTGAATCTCCTTGGCTCGTTCCTCGGCTTCCGCACTATATTTCTATGTTATCACAATTGGATCAAGTTCAAGTGGGGTAAGGGGGTTAGAACCATAAACAACCATAAATGGAGAAAAACCGGTTGTCTTGCTTGGTGTCCGATAATAAGCAAACTCCGCATGGGGTAGAAGTTCTTCCCATTGCCTTATATTCTTCTTGATGAGCACCCATAACAACGTTCCAAGGGTTCGGTTCGTTACTTCTGTTTGGCCGTCGGTTTGAGGGTGGTGAGAGGTGCTAAATTTGAGCTTGGTTCCCATCTTTCTCCAAAGTGTCATCCAAAAATGACTAAGGAATTTGCTGTCCCGATCCGATACCATGCTTCGAGGAATCCCATGTAATTTGACAATGTCTCGGAAGTAGAGATCAGCGATTTGTGAGGCGTCATGTGTGGTTAAGCATGGCACAAAATGGGCCATCTTTGAGAACCGATCTTCCACGACCATGATTGAATCTTTCCCTCGTTGTGTCCTAGGCAGCCCCGAGATGAAGTCGAGGCTAATATCTTCCCATGGGGCCGTGGGGATGGGCAGGGGAAGATACTTTCCTTGAGCTAAAGAATGGCTCTTGGCTGTTTGGCAAAGGTTGCACCGTTTGATGTAGTGCTCCACGTCTCGTTCCATCTTTGGAAAATAGTAGTGTTCACGCAGCATCATGTGGGTCTTCTCGATGCCAAAATGCCCTGCTAGTCCTCCTCCATGTACTTCTTCGATGAGGGTTTCACGAAGACTACATTTTGGAATGCATAACTGATTTCCTCGGAACAAGTAACCGTCCTTAATGAGGAATTCTCCGTGGGGCCGCACAAGACACTTGGAAAATGTGTCTTTGAAGTCTTCATCCTCCTTTTATAGCTCCTGCACAAAATCAAAACCAACAATTTTGGCACTAAGGGCCGTTAGTAAGAGGTGTCTCCGGGAGAGGGCATCGGCTCCTTTGTTCATGGACCCATTCTTGTGCTTTATGGTGAAGGTTTGAATGTATTCGACCCATTTGGCATGACGGGGCCTGAGTTTGTGTTGCCCTTGAATGTACTTCAAGGCCTCATGATCGGAGTGATGTATGAACTCCTTGCTGACCAAGTAATGACGCCAATGCTCTAAGGACCGAACAAGAGCATAGAACTCCTTATCATAAGTTGAATATCGCCTTCTTGTATCATTCAACTTCTCGCTGAAATAGGACACCGGGTGGCCTTCTTGGGAGAAGACAGCCCCTATCCCGACTCCGGATGCATCGCATTCTACCTCAAACAGTTTCTCAAAGCTCGGTAAGGCTAACACGGGGGCGTGTGTCAACCTTTCTTTGATGGTTTCGGAGGCTTGTTGAGCTTTTGGATTCCATTCGAACTTCTGGTTTTTGGTGAGATCCGTGATGGGTGCAGTGATGGTGCTAAAGTCACGCACAAACCTTCGGTAGAATGAGGCTAGACCGTGAAAACTCCGTACTTGTTGCATGGACGTGGGAATGGGCCAATCCCTTATGGCTTGTGTTTTCCTTTCGTCCACATTGATACCATCACTCGAGATAAAGTATCCCAAGAATTCTGTTTCTTGGGAGAAGAATTGACTCTTCTCCAGATTCCCATAGAGCTTCTCTTCGTCCAATCTTTTAACCACTAAGGTGAGGTGGTTAATGTGCTCTTCTTCACTCTTACTGTAAATCAAGATGTCGTCAAAGTAGACTACAACAAAATGACCTATATATGGCTTCAAGACTTGGTTCATCAACCGCATGAATGTGCTCGGGGCGTTGGTCAGCCCGAATGGCATAACCAACCACTCGTAGAGGCCAAACTTCATTTTGAAGGCAGTCTTCCATTCGTCACCTTCGAAGATACGGATTTGGTGGTAGCCGCTTCTAAGATCAATCTTTGAGAAAACCTTCGAACCGTGAAGTTCGTCCAGCATATCCTCGAGCCTAGGTATTGGGTACCTATATTTGATGGTGATCTTGTTAATGGATCGGCTATCACAACACATTCTCCACGTACCATTTTTCTTTGGTACCAACAAAGCCGGAACAGCACAAGGACTTAAGCTTTCACGAACAAAGCCCTTTGCTAGTAACTCATCCACTTGTCGTTGGATCTCCTTTGTTTCTTCGGGATTCATTCTATAGGCTGGTTTGTTCGGTAAGGCAGACCCGGGAATGAGGTCGATCTTGTGTTGGATATCTCTTTTCGGGGGCAGGCCGTGTGGTACATCTTCGGGGAAGACGTGGGCATATTGTTCAAGGATGGGAACGGCTAGAGAATGGGGCTGCTTGGGAGGGGCAGTGGGTTCGGCCATCTCAAGATCAAGGAGAATGAGGTCCTTGAATCCTTCAAGTTCATGGTGTTCGGATTGGAGTATAGTGGAAATGAGGGATGGAGGGGTGTTGTTGCTGTTTTGGACCGTGGGTGAGGAAGGTGGGGGTAAGGCAGTGTTGGGTAATTTTCTTCTTATTCATAAGGAATGAATAAGTGTTCAAGTAGCCATCATGCTGCACTTTGTTGTCGAACAACCAAGGACGTCCCAAAAGGACGTGGCATGTGTCCATGGGAATAATGTCGCCCCAAATGTCATCCTTATAAGTCTTGCCGATGCTCAGCGAGATAAAGCACCTCATGTCAACACGTAAGCCCTTGCCTTGGTTTAGCCATTGAATAGTATAAGGCTTGGGATGAGGGGATACCTTCAAATGTAGTTTTTCCACCACTGTTTTGGAGGCCACGTTAGAGCAGCTCCCGCCATCGATGATTAACGAACACACCTTCTGAATCGTACAACGGGTATGAAAGATGTTCTCCCGTTGTAGTTGCTCCTCGGGGCATGGTATGGCACTTAAGGTCCTTCGAATGACCAAAAGTTCACCATCGTCGGGGCCAACACATTCTTCTTCCTCCTCCTCGGCTACTTCTTCATCCCATACGGGATTGTACTCTTCATCATCATACTCAACCAAGGCCATTATTTTCCTGTTTGGGCACTCATTGGCGTAGTGACCAAATTCTTGGCATCGGTAACAAACGGGGTTTTTTTTGTTGGTTGTAGGGGCTGTTTTAGGTGGGGGAGGAGTAGGATTTGGCTTAGATGGTGTTTGGGATTTGGGGGTTTGGCCGTGGGCAGTAGGGGTGAGTTTTGAGGGGGTATATGTGGGGCGTGAGTAAGGGGGAGGGTTTCTTGAGAGAATGGCTTTGGATTTCTTCATTTGAGCCTCAACTTTGAGATCCAACTTAGTAAGCTCTTCAAATGTAGTGTAGCTTTGCAGCTCCACCGTATTGGCTATTTGGAGATTTAGGCTAAAAAGGTACCTTACAAAGGTTTGCTCTTCGTTCTCTTGTAAGTCACACCTGAGTAGGAGTTCCTCAAACTCTCGGGTGTAGTCTTCCACGGACTTCGTACCTTGCCTAAGCGTTTGAAGCTGAGCAAAGTTCTCTCGGGAATATTCAGTGGGTAGGAACTTCTTCTTCAAGAGACTCCTCATCTTTTGCCATGAGTCAACGGGAGGCTTCTCACTTCGAATCCGTTTGGTGCAGGTGTTCGTCCACCAAGTGGAGGCGTACTTGCAGAATTTTAAGGCCACAATCTTGACCTTCTTGTCGTCGGAGACTTCTTTGAAATCAAAGACTCGTTCCACCATCTCTAACCACTCAAGAAATTCATCCGGGTCATTCTCTCCTTCAAAGATTGGAATATCAACTTTGAAGTCAGAATATGACTTTTCGTGAGCCCTAGCTTTCATGGTGGCACTAGAGCTAGATTCCTCTTCATCTTCACTATCTCGTAGCATGGACATCTTTTGTTTTTTGAGCTTAGCCACTTCTTTGGCTAGGTACTCCACTTGAGCTTGTAACGCAGCGTTTGAGGCCACAAGTTCTTCATGAGACATGCTTCGGGATCGGTTTGACATGGTTGATAGGAAAAGGGATGAAGTGGGAGTAGGGATTGAATGTGGTTAGGCCAAATTTAGGGAGGGAGTTGGGGAAGTGTGTATGGTCCTTGAGAGTTGATTAACAACTAGCTCTGATACCAAATGATGTGCCCAAGCTTATGAAAAGCCTATGGATAAATAAGGGCAGATAATAGAGAGGAACATATGGTGAAGAATAGGTTGGAAAATGGTGAAGAAAGTATGGCTGTTTGGAAAAGGTGATATGGCAGAATGAAGGGCAAGAGAAAAGCAATATTATGGAGTGGTTTTTGATGAAGAGATGAAGTGTTTAAATGGGGGAAAGGGGATGGACGAAATTGAGAGAGAAAAAGGGAGTTTTGTGGTGGTTTTCTGGTTGTATAAGGATAAACCAAATAATGAATAAGAGATAAACACACTCTTATTTTATTTGGGGCTATTTCTTTTCACACAATAATATTCACTACTATTATATGAAATAGACTCCTAACACACACTCAAAAGTAGCCAACTTTAGAGATATTTCATTAGGAAATGGGGAGAACTAGCTTCACACTAATTCAAAGATTTTACTCAAAGAGTAAAGGGAATAAAA